TTCAGCTAGAAGTCATTTTCTTTGTTACTTTAGTTTATTAGTTCTTATTATCTTTAAACAATTTAAGCATATATTAATACAATTTACATACTCATAACTGCAGGAAAAAACAAACCCACACAGTCAACTTACTCCCAATGATGCTGTGCAGTTCATAGGAACATGACAGTTATCTGTTCATTAAAAGCCTATCTCCAAGGTCAGTCTGGTACGTGTTGTTACATATCAGTTAACACCCCGTCCTGTATGTGATGTCTCTCCGCACAGACTGCACAGAGGAAGATCCGGGAGATCATTCAGCAGGTCAAACAGCAGGAACAGAAGCACCAGCAGGGCACCGCCGTGTCACCGCACCACGCCAAGTGACCAGCGGGGCGGCTCCGGCGGGTGCCAGCCAATGAATGTAGCCCTCCCAAACGGACAGAGACCTACCCAGACAAAGGCCACGGCCAAGGGGGACATGCAGGGCAGACCAGCAGCACCAGGATCAAAACCAAAGAACTTCACTAGGGGGGAAACAAGTAAGAGCCAAAGGCTGAGGGCATTGTGTGCACTGCCAGCCCCGTGAGAGCAGATAGAGTGGGAAAAAACCGTACTGATATAATATAACAAAAAAAGACCAAAAAAATCTATAAGGAACGTGGACATGGCAGAGAATTTTGGAACTGTTGTCGTCACAGTTCCAAACAGGAAATAGTATGTCGCCCTGCATAACGTTATCTCTTTAGTTGGACTAACATAGGCCTAACAAACTGATAAAGCAAATGTATTAACACGAGCGTATACGAGGCATTGTGATAAATATTTTAGGTTAGAACAAGCGCGAGGGACAATGGACTCTCACATGAGTTAGAGATATTCAGATTGAAAGATTAAATATCCTTAGCAGTATTAACACAGAGTAGAAAAGTATATTGATACACACTGAGAGTACGCACTGTTATTTTCCTATCAAAATGACAGAACAACTTGGTTTAGTTTCTAATATTTGTGCTTGTTCCAGAGATTGATTGTGCTCTGACAGCCTCATAAGGCAATTCCCCTTGTGTGTTCACAGTATAGGCCACTGAAATCAAAAGAAAAACACTTGTAAGAAAATATGGTGAATGGGTCTTTTTAACAAGCCTGTGTGTGTGCCAACGCAAAAGATAACGTCCCTTTTAAGTGTCTCACCAATCATATCTGATGCTTCGACTCTTTTTTTCTTTCATTTCTTTATTTTCTGCTTATTTCTGCTTTAATTTCTCATCACTCTCTCTCATCTGGTGTGTTTTTTTAATAGGTTAAAAACATTTTTGTTGTCAAGGAACAGATTCTTCCCCCATAGCCCTCATTGAACTGCCACTTTCACTCAACAGAGGTCAAACGCATCAGAGGAATGTTTAAACTGATATCATTCTTCCATGCTGTACAGTAACTAGAACAGCATTCATGCTTGTTGTCCTGATATTTAAAAAAGAAATCTAAACGTTGTCTAATAAAGGACGATCAGAGCAAATCTTAAAAAAACTATTTGTGCAAACTTAATTTGCTTACAGGTGACCAGTCGTTTTGAATGTGCAGCGCCACACGCTCGGCCTTATTTGGGACGTCATGAGGACCGACACAAACATAAGAAATTAGACGTTGTTTTGAGGGAGGGTGCTCACTTTTGGTGTGTGGAGTGGCAGTGAGGAAAAGGTTTTGGGTTAGAGGGTGGTTTGGGAGGCACTGTATGACCTGTGGTACACACACAACCGCAAACGTGACCGCAGCCGTGTTTGGCTTTAACCCTCTCTTGTCAGGGAGCTTTCTAAAACAGCATGACAGCTGTGAATGTACGATATGCAGCCTTTTAGAAGAATCACCCCTGCCGTGTCCAGCAGGCGGGGCCACAGGCACAGACACACAGATTGTCATTCTCACCCTCGCTCTTTCTTTTAACTTTTTCTCGTTTTGTTTTGTTTTGGCGAGCCAGCCGACCGCTCTGCGAGTGCGCTGGACACGCAGGTCCTCCTGGTGTCCCTTTACTGTGGAGACCATGGAAGCTTGTTGCCTTATTTTGTCATCTTTTAGACATCACCCATCAGCTTCATCTTCCAGACGCAAGGTTATTGCCAATACGCACAGCTTCCTCCGTGTGTGTGCGTTTGTGTGCGAGTGCGCATGTGTGTGTATATATATATAAAAAGAGAGAGTAATATTTATGAATCTATTTTTTTCCTATTTTGTGATGAGAGCTATTGATAAGAAACAAAAAGAAAAACAAAGTCCTTTTCTTTTCTTCCTCAGTGGGACACTGCCATATTATTTTGAAGGGAAGTGTTTATTTTCTTGAAAACTAGACTATGAATAATAATATAAACAAAAAACCTGAAAAATAGGAGAACAGTGAACCATCGATAACTTTGGTCAGGATGTGAACAGTGCGCATGTCAGTATTGTGATCTACCTCAGGCTTCAGGGTACCTCAGTCCAATCTTTCATTTCCCCTTTTTCCACATTTTGTATGCCTTGTTAACTGATCATTTTGAGCGTTTTTAATTTTCTTTTTTAATGAAAAAAAGACAAAAGATCTACAGTAATCTCTAAACTCTTCAGGTCCAGTCAACTAGTGAAACTTTGTCAACCGTAGTCAACTCTGTTGGACTGTCTTTACCTGGACGCCATACAACCTCTTAATGATACACGTCAAAAGGATTTCAAAGTACATTTTCTGTAGAAAGGAATGAAGAGCAGGATCTAAGGGGTACATACCTGCCCGAAGTGGTTCTGAATGTGGATGTTGTGTACTGATTTCACAGAATCAAAGAAAGGAAAGAAAAGTCAGTTGAAAACAAAACAGAAACTAACCATCTGTACCTCCTGCTTTTCCCAACTGTACCTCCAGGTTTTTTTTAGACTTACAAAAAAAACAACAATGACGTTTATTCACTTGTGGAAAAAAAAAAGATTTTTTTTAAACAACCCAATTCAATCGTACCAGCTCTATTTGATAAAAACATACTCTGGGGTTGATTTGAAGAAAACACAAAGCTGCAAAAATACACTGACGGGACTCTTTGAACTTGGTGTAAAAACCCTAGTCTTCTGTGTAGAATGTAGAACAACTCTAGTCGTTGAAATGTCACTGTGTACGACAAGATATCTGTATATCTGTAAACATGTACAATAGTCACACATTAATACATCGTTTTCTGTTTCTATAACACTTATCAGTCTACACCTGCGATGTGAGAGATGGTGGGAGAAGTTTTAGAGCGTCACAGCTTGCCTCAAAACTGACCTCTAAACGGTTTTCTCATCAATCTATAGATGATTTTTTTGTTTTGATGTGCTGTACATTTCAGAATTACCTCTCAGAATCCAAGGCTGACTTTAGTTACTAAAACCGATGTAGGGCGAAAAATAATTAAATAAAGGAATGATATAGTGAAAGTTAGTGTTTGTCTTTGGAGTTCTTTTAACTGTTGAGAGCTGATTTTTTTAAATTTTTTTCCGAGGGCAGACTTTTGTCATCAGATGAGCTGGATCATTGTCTCAGTGAACACAGATTAGCAGTGCTGAAATAAAACATAAAAGGTCTATCGAACTCACACAATGCCTGAGGCTTGCTGTAACAACAGCAAGCCTCCCCACAGCCGGTACAGTACCTCATACTGATGATGATCGCTCACCAGACCTGATTCAAATGACCCCCTGACCTTAGCCACACCAATGCAGTACGGTGCTTTAACTCGAAACACGTGACTCCTGTGGTGGTCTGCTTCACTGTAGTAGGGCATGTCATGGAGAGAACGGCTCTTCGCTGTAGCACTGGAAATTGCAGTTTGTCACTCATGGTTTGACTTGACAGGACTAGCTTTTTAAGAGCAGTATTGAAGGCTCGTCTCTTGTGTTGCAGAGGACTCTTCAGATCTCTGTCTCGCTTGTGTTTTTGGCTCTTTACACAGTCAGTGCAGGTTTCCCTCCAGCTGGTTCGGTTTCACTGTGTCGGTTTCAGCACAGCGTCTTGGTTGTTCAGACCTCTGTAGGCCGGCCGCTGTCTGAGGAGAAATCTTGTCAAAACGTAATAGTTTCCTTTTAATTTTAATTTGTACTTCCAAGGATTGATGTTTCTAGGTTTTGTGGGGTGTTGCTAGACATTAATATTCAGTACCAGAAAACCACAATTACACACATCACTGAGGGTGTACTGTGTTGTTAGTCATATCACATGGTGGTTGGATAGTTTAGGCTTTTATTTTTCCTGTTGATCTGGTTTTTTCTCGTCATTTACACTGATTTAATGATGTAGTCCGGAGCAGTAGCTGGGATTCTTTGCTTTAATATTCATTCCTGTTAGATCACTACCAATTATACTAGTTGTTAAATTGTGGTTGAAATATCCTAACTAGAATGTTTAACAGATTTGGGAATCATGATGGAAAAATAAATGAATCTGTGACATGCATAAAAGGAGGGTTGACAGAGTAACCAGGTCTGATAAAAAAAAAAAGGCTAATCAAATCTTGTTCTGCGACTGAACAAAAAATAGGGCATTCAACAACCATCCAAAAAAAGATAGTTAGCTGAGGAAGGATTTAGTAAAGTCTGGTTTGATGTATGCAGAACCACAGCAGTGTTTTTGTCTTGTCTTGTTGTTAAATGGGAAAACACAAAGCATTGCATGAGACTGTTGTAGGCGATCCAGTATGTACACTTTATATAGCACTAGACTTTCAGTAGTGGTTTTCCATGGATCCATTTCTTAACTGCTTTTCACCATTTGGGAGATTCCTTTTGTCCCCTCAGTAGGTCTCAACCCTCAAGTCCTACATTTCCCACGGGCCAAAAGGTCCCAGACACCTCAAGGTAATCGGTGACTGTGCGCTAGACAGACATATATGATCCATTTTTAATCCATCCCGTGGATTCATGCCTTTCTGGTAACAGCCAAGCTGTTGTTTTGAGTTGTGAGTGAACTGTATTGCTGAGCAACCTGGATCTGAGCAATAAATAATATTTGAAAAAAGAAAATACTGTTTTTCACATTTACTGTTTTATTATTCCAAAGTGTTTTTACATCTGAAATAATAGGTGTCATGTTGTTTGGGATCCAGCACACCATAACTGTACATTCAATTTAAAAATAATTAACATCTTTGAAGAGACAGAAAGCTGACATTACATTTTAAATCTTAACCCACACAAAGAAAGAGTTTTAAGATAACACCGTGCAGTGTGAATAGCCCTGTACAAAAGACATACGGACAGTGAAGAGGCAGCCAGAGACGCAATATAAATGATCGATTTAACACATCCTGGATTAACTGCACCTTTACTTTCAGGTAATGATTGGGTATCATGACATTTACTCAGTCATGTCATTTAATTTGTTTGTTTTTTGTTACCTCAAAGACTGAGGCCAAATCACACAATTTGAAAAACTTTGAGTTCCAACAAAGTTCAAAAATAGTAAAAATTGCTGAACGCCCTGTATTACAATTTATACTTAAAATGTGATTGTCAAAAAAGCAAAATACAATTTCAAGTATATGCTGCAAACATATTTCAGTTACAAATATAGGTATTCACACAAACCCAAATAGCAATCATCTGAGCCATTAAGCTACAACCAACATGAGCAGGCTGTTACATTAGTTTTCCCAAACTGGTGGAGGTAGAAGTCAGAATCAGAGTCCAGCACTGCACGACAGGCACTTGAAACACTGGCTGTTTACATTGAAGCCAAGTCCCCTTTAAACCCTTCCCTCTATCCTTATGATTACTGTACATTCATATATCTTTATACATTTACTGTAGAATAACAAACATTTGGTTAAACAAAAATACCTGGCTACAAATCCCAATGTGCCAGTCTTATTTTGTACAGCTCTGCATCTCTAGGTGGCTCCAGAAAAGATAAAAGAAACCTTTACACTTGCGTCTGCAGTTTGTTTCTGAAGAGTCATCACTTTAAATACATTTAATCTTCGAGGGCAGAGAGCCAGGGAAAACAACTCCCAGAACAAATCACTGGACCTTCTTCTCCGTGTTGAGCCCGTTCTGTGATGGGACGTCCAGTTTGAGGCGGTTCTGACTGAAGCGGCGGATGAGGGCGCCGGGCAGCAGCGCCATGCAGGCGATGGCCAGCAGCTGCAGCAGCCTCCCCCATGAGAACAAGTCGTCCAGAGACGCCACCTCAGACAGCATGACGCCCGTCTGCACACAGATGAAGTTGTACGGTAGGAGGCCTGCAGACACAGATGGCAGGTAAAAAACAAAACTGTAGTTAGACATCAAATGAATGTGGAGTGTTGGGAGAAATGTTCAATACTTAAAATTTGAAGGCAAGTAATAATGTGATGTAAATCGAGTCAAGACTTTGTTGTGAGCAGTTTTATGTAGGAACTATATTCCTTCTTTCAAACTACACCCACCGACCATATCACTCTGCAGAAGGAAGATTGTAGTTCTTGCAGTTCTTTAAAAATAAAGTACTTTCTGTATGAAACTGTTCACAACAAGAACTGTGAATTATCTTCAGTGATTTCCGGGAGGAGACATTGCTGGGAATTCTTTAGGTCTTTTGGGCTTTGAGCACCACAAGCCGTGTATTTGAGAGAAAGGTGACATTTTTACAGCCAATAACTCACACACCTAAACAATCTGGATTAATAAATAGCACTGCAGGTATGAGGAAAAATATTTGTTTTTGTTTGGGAGTTAACTTTCCCTTTAGCAAATGTCACAATCACATGTTGAAACTGATGATTTGACAGAGGGACGATTACAGTTAGTCGTATTAATTAGCACGCACCTAATACAAACAACAATTAAAGAAGCCAAAGTGTGAGTTTAGGTGAATGTGAAGTCCTTTTCTTTTGATGTACGATGATCCTTTTGTTCCTACCAATGAAGACTGAGCAGATAAAGTAGGTGATGGGGATGTTGGCAATAGGGGCCGACATGTTCAGAAACCAGTTGGGAGTCATTGGAAAGAATCTCAGGAAGAGTAGAAAGAATAACAAACAGTCCTTGTTCTCCTCAACCTGGTAGAAAAGATAAGATTTTAAAAGAGATTTTAGGATATATAGGGAGAGTAGTAGTGTGTTTGTTGCTTTTTGAGATATTTTCAGTGTCAATTTGATATCTTCTCGTCACATTTTGGGGAATAAAAATATAAAACAAAACCTGTAATCACCCCCTGTATAACTTTGCACATGTATATACACGTAATGATAACATGTGTGAGCAGAGCATTCGGGGCAGGAATATATAACTTCATATTCTCAATGAAAGCCTACCATAAAAACTCATTTATCGTCAGAATATACAGTAGAATTTTATCAATATTTGTTGCCTTGAATAAGTTGTTTACATGGTGTCACAGACATACCTTCCTCTGTAGCATGGAGACCTTATCAGGGAAGAGGTTAGCGATGTAGCGCTTTCCAAAGGCCTGGGACAGGAGGTAGCACATGGTGGAGCCCACAGTGGTGAGCACACAGGCAAGCAGCAGTCCTTGATAGGGTCCAAATATAGCTCCTGCTAAAATATTCTGCATAATGACAAGTGGAGAGGGCCAGAGTTATTACACATCAAGTGTTTAATGATCGTCACAGACATGCACATCAAGACAATCTACTGCGTATCTCTTCCTGCAAAAGGAGAGAAGTACTCTTTAATCTAACAGTGGTTCTGTGCTGCAAGCTCCGTTTGGGGAATTAAATCAATGATACTGGGGAAGAAAAACTGCCACAAAAGTCTTATGTCTACACACAAAGACAGTCTGACATCCTTTTATTGTTTGAGCTTGCTGGATATTTTTATCCTCTGCAGTGTGTGTTTGGAGAAGAGACGTAGCTTTTTCATTTTTCCTTATAGCATACTTAATTTGTGTCCCACCTGCCATACATGTTCTTTTCTAATTGGCATTCAAATCAAAAAATTTCTGTAAAACATGTCAACAAATACTGTGACTACCTCACACCCATGAAGATCAAATGACTTGCTTACTTGGTGTAAACATTTTAAAGTCATCCAACATGTAAAATGTCAACATCCATAGTTTGCCTTGTTATCCAGCATCAGTACAGAGAACACCTGACTTTGAACACCTGAATTTTGCCCTACCAGAAATGAAGATCCAGGAATGGCAAAGGACTGCTTGTAAAGATATGCACTACAGAAAAGCAGCAGGACATATCCAGTGTGCTCCGTCTTGTAAAACTGCAGGAGCTCAGCCAGTTCCCTCAGCTCCTCCAAGTCTGAGGGGAACTTCAACCTGCAGGACATCCATACTCAAGTTAGTCCCATCATGCACTTCTTTCAGGAACAGACAGTGTTGGGAATCAGGGGCAGATATGATAAAGGATATTATGGTAATCAACAACATTTCAATATTGAGATAGCCTATACCTGATGGTAACAACAAGTCTATAAATGCTGATATGTGCTTGTTTTATCCATTTCAACCTGAATTACTGGTAACACTATTGGTTTTGGCTGCTAAATCAGAGGACTGAAGTTAACACATTGGCCTAAACTAAAGTTAGGTGTACAGCCATTAACAGTTGTATTGGGTATATAAGTAGTTAAAATCTGTTTTACAACTGTGTAATGAAGCCAATTTTCATAATTCATGCGTTTTAAAACTTCACTTAATGTCATATCTTACAGTACATCTACAGAGAGAGTGTTTCCGTGTTTGATGAGATTGTGTGTGAGATAGGAGCATGCTTATGTAAGCGGTAGTGATATCAACGTTACAGACAAATGCACTTTTTGTGAATAAAAACATAACCTAGTGAACTTTATCCTCTCTGGATAACAGAAGCCTCACCTGCTGGGCTCATCGGAGCTATCAGCGGGCTCCCCGGGCTCCTCATGGTGTCTGTGGGCGGCTGGAGGTCTCCGTGGCGCCGCGGGGAGGTACAGGGACAGAGAGTACAGGTACACACTGGCTGCAACAACCACAGCGAGCAGTCCCACAAGAGAGCGCATATTCCTCCACACTGTCAGCCTGGAGACGGCTGCTTATCCTCCGTGTGACAGTCAGAGTGGAGAGAAGAAATGGCCAACAACTGCTGCTTCTTCTTCTTCTACTTTGAGGTTTAACGGCAGCTGGCATCATTGGTGTTACCGCCATCTTCTGGAGGCATTTACCTAACCGCTGAAAGATACTTTTTGTATTCAGCAATATCTGTAATATATGTATATTAAATATGTTTATAATAGTATTTGCATTTGACTGTAATATATATGTTTTTTTTATTAGAAAATGATTGCTGCTTTATATTAATAATAATAATAATAATAATAATAATAATAATTCATGTTTTTTTATAGCGATTTTCCTGGTCCTCAAATATCCTTTATTATTAATCAAACGATACTACACCAAAATAGTGAAATTAAAAGCATATATGCCCAAAAAAAAGGGAACAAAATGGACAGATTTAGTTTTCTAACTAACTCCAGGCCAGAAGGGGGCGCTAAAGCTCCGAGTCGTTACCCCAAACCGCCCACTGTAAACAACACAGAAGAAAAGCGACGAAGAAGACAGTTTGGAAATCTTTATGACATGGATAGTAAAACTGTGATAAAGGTGATGCAGTCTTGGCAGCATGTTTAAAAAAATGTTCAATTAAAAAAAAAAAAAAAAGTCTTGGCAGCAGGACTGAAGTTACAAAGTTCAGTCCACAAACCAGAAACAAGTGCGACAGCGTCTGGTATTCGGAAAGATGGCTGAATATAATCGTGTTTCGGAGTGTGTCGGTTTGATTACTCTGCGGAATCCGCCTGTCAACGCACTCAGGTGAGCCACAGTCAACAGCAAGCAGGGAGAGTGGCTGTTAACTCAAATCAAAAGTTGAATGTATTTGCTGTAGTAGTGTAGGCCAGCGCCGTTTCTATTAGGCCTATTTCTATTAGGCTCTGGTGTAGGCCTATTGTAGGTGTAGTAGGTATTTCCATTTTCAATTATATATACTTTATCAGACAGCATTTACTTTGTGGATGAAGTTAATACAAACAAAATGTATGATGACCTTACATAAAGTGAAACATTGTTGTAGACAATATACAATGTATATGTATACAATTACCTCGTATCTTGGCCTGCTATAATTTAATGTTGCTGCTTACATGATAATTAATAACTGAAAAATAAATGTCATGATATTATTAAGACATTGAAAGGGGAAATTGTGCTGCATAATGAATACTTAAACATTTGATAGTTTAAGTGCCTTTTGCTAATTCTTCTTCTCTACATCTACTGTACTTAAGTTAATTATTGAACGCAGGACTTTCACTTGTAGTATTGTGGTGTTGCAAAGCTTAATCTGCTAGTCAATGATCTACTGCTGCAGACTGCTCCAGTTTTGTGTTAAAAACAGTGCTCGAAGCTACCCCAGATATATATATAGTAAATATTAATGGGTGTTTCTCACAAATATGATTCCTGTCTGCCTAGCTCTTTAGGCCACTACTACCCTGTTTAATAGAAACACATATCAAATGTAGGTCATATTGTTAATAATTAACATTATTTTGAGGAAGAAGTCCTGTAACAGAAAGGTCTAAATTGTCCCTTTACTCGACTATAACAATTTAAAGGGTTACTGAAAGGTGAACTTCAGCAATAATGTACATCCAGTATAACGTAAACATGTTATTCTTTGATGCAGTGCAGCGGTGAGGCAGGGCATTGTTGATACCGTGGAGAGAGCACTCAGCGACCCAAACGTGAAGTCTGTGGTCATCTGTGGCCAGAATGGAATCTTCTGTGGAGGTATGGACATTATTTAGATTTCTTGTATTTTCTGCAACTTTACAATGGTGACACAAATAGGTGCCAAAATATGTTTGAATTGTGTTTTACTTGACTTCTTCCAATTGTCTATTACAAACCTTGAAATGGGTGTAAAGATTGGTGCAAAAGGCGACAAGAGTACACTATCAAACACCAGTAGGCTTATATAATATAATATATAATATAATTTTTTGTTTCAATAATAACTAATAAACTTGAACAATTTAAGTATATATATACACGCGTCCTGGTGTGTGTTAATTTCCTCAAAGACAGAAGCACAGAATTTCTGTTGAACCAGATGCACCTTATTATAAAGTCTGTTGTTTCTGGCTTTCTGTTTGAACACTCTTGATATCAAAATCCATTTAATTTTGCACAACAGGGGCGGACATCAAGGAGTTTGGATCCAAAATGACTGGACCTCCACTAATTCCGATGATCCACGCCATTGAGTCTGCCAACAAGCCGGTGGTGGCGGCCATAGAAGGAAGCGCTTTAGGTGGAGGGCTTGAGTTGGCGCTTGGTTGTCATTATCGAATCGCACACTCTAAAGTGAGTTCATGCTTCAGATCGCTCTCTGTCTCTTTTTAATGTCAGCGTAGTGCTGCATCAGTGTCTAACTGTCTTAACATGTTGTAATGAGTAACTGTTGGTTTAGTTGTTATGTTTAAAATACAACCATCACATTTTTCTTTCAAATGGTTTAATTGTTGCAATATATAATTGAGAAGAATTACATGAAAACCCCACACTGTTAAGCCCCTTCTGTTACTCATACTTTGTGCCTCCGTGCCCTTTAAGGCCAGACTGGGGCTTCCAGAGGTGAGTTTGGGTCTGTTGCCAGCTGCAGGAGGATCCCAACGTCTGCCAAGGCTCATCGGGGTCCCAGCTGCCCTAAACCTCATCACCACAGGTAGATTTACCCTGCTTGACTATTAAAGAGATGATTATAAAAGTGTTGACATTCTTTAAAGTATCAGACTAGAAAAAGGGAAGTATATATTCATGTGAAGAAGTCACAATACTTAGTGTAATCCTGATACCAAAATTATGATACTGTGATTATCGCAACATCCTTAAACATCAGGCCAAGTCAATATTAATCAATTTAAGGATTACTATTTGTTTTATCAGCAGAGATGATATATTTTTAGAATCAGTATGCCATGCAAAAATGTAAAATGTTGGTCTATTTTTGCAAGAGGGCTCTGTTTGTAAACCCACATGCAGATGTCCCTGCATATTATAGATGTACAAATGATTACCAATCATTGACTTGGCAGAGTTGTTGATTGACACCCTGTTCACAACATGCAGCTGCTGACATGAGATCGGTAGTTTACTGTGATGACCAGCAGAGGTCAGCATGTGTTTAGTTTCACCATGCTCACTGCTTATATTCTGCCCTGTTCAGATCAATGGAAATGTTCTTAACACAATAGTTGAGGAGACTGTTGTTCTTTATCATCTTCTGACATTTATCAAGGACACAAATGGTCCTTGTGTCCAAATCTACTGTGCCTGGCTGGGAGGCGTGTTATTCCTCATCTAAGCATTCAAAATGTCACATGTCATCCAGATAGACCTTTGATGCCCTTCATATCTCCCACAGGCCGCCATGTGACTGCCGCTGAGGCCCTGCAACTTGGCATAGTGGATCAGGTTACTGACCACAACACTGTGGATGCAGCTGTGAAGTTTGCCCTGAGTGTTGCAGGTGAGACACAGAAACCTGATTGCACAAGTTTTAAAATCCACTCACTCTCCACTGGCTTAAAAAATGAATTTAGTGGAAGGAAGTTACATTCCTCCCCAGAGAAGTTATTTTGGGCAAGTCCGACATCAAGAAGATTTGACATGTAGGTTGTGGAAATCAAAGGAAGCAGAAAACACGGCAGGCAGATCCTCCACCACAGAAGCCATAAATGTTTCATGGCTCTGTCAGATGTGCTCTGATGTCTTCACTGCTTTTGCTCTATTATTCAAAAGGGCGAAAAGGGACAAACTTTCCTTGAATATTAATAACTGGCTCTAGCCAATCATTTAGGAGGATAAGGGTTTCTCTGTGTATGTGAATCAGAATAATGAACACACTAAATGGTCTGATAAAATGTGCCACATCCCCACAGTTTACCAAAAAATATTTCTCTGTGTAATGGGTGTGTTAAATGACAAATCAACTTTTAAGAACATTTGGTGTCTATTTTTGTGAAATGCTTAGATTTTCCAATTCTGCTCTTGGTCAGATGATGTCTTATACTTTACAATAATTCAACAGTAGCCAAAGGTTTATACATTTCATTTTCATATGAACGGAATACCCATTTAACAACATTTTCAGTGATACTCTACTTCAGACCAGCTATTGATTAGCTTATCATAACGACTGAAAGCAGTGAGAAACAGCTAGCCTGGTTCTTTCCACAGTTGCCTAGCAGCAAACATCTAATCTACACCTTGTGAAGTGATTTATCCGTACAAAAGTGTAAAAAAACACAAATTGTGGGTTTGCAGGTTATTTGCTGGACTGTTTATTGACCTGAGTGCTCAGACCCAGGCTAGCTGTTTTCACTTTCTGCTAAGCTATGGCCAACCAACCCTTTATATTTAACATACAGATAAGAAAGTGGTATCACGCATTTCATACAACTCACAATAAGGAAGTCATTAAGCATAATCTTTTCTTAAAAAAGTCAAACTATTCCTTTAAGTATTAAGGAATGCTGTTAGCAAGGTCATATTGTGAAGTAATGCACATACCAACTACTCTGGTGTGCGTTTTTTTGTGTTTACATTTTCAGATTAAATGTGGTTAATGTGAATTATGTCTTTGCCCTGGTTGTACAACAGCCTTTGATTCATTTGCATAAAAGGAACATAGGGATATTTTCATGGCTATAATGTAAGAAGCTCGTTACTTGTTTTAGAGAAGTCATCTTAAACAGTTTGTTGCTAGCTTACCTGGCAATGACGGCTCATTTTTACGACATTTAAATTGGTATGAAAACTGCTAGTTTGTGCCTAATGCTCCACCTTTAGCAGATGATCACACTAAGTTTGTGCGAAATGTCAACAGCAAGTCCCCAGGATTGCCTGTAAAACAACATTTCACAATCAAAAGATTATTGCAGTCTGATGCTTTTTACAAATGCTTTTTTTCCACACAGCACTGCCAAGATGACTTTGAGTGGGTGAGAAAGTGAGTGTTGTTTTTAAAGCTGAGGCTTAGAGTGAGTCAGACAGTGAAGCCAACAGCATACAAGATGGGCGATGATGAGGAGACGGGAAGGAAATCTGTGGAGACTTTGACCGATACTCCACTCTTGAGTTGATAAGCAGGGGTGTTGAATTTGGATGGGAAATATGTATCTAAATTTACATCGAAACGTGTGAATGTTTGAGACATTGAGATGAACGGCCAGTGAGGCAACAAGCACAGAATAGATTCAAACACATTAATACATGCATACATAAACCCCAGCCAGCAGTACATCTGGCACATATATACAAAAATTGTTTGACAACCTAAATTGATGCACATGTGGACTCATACACACAGGCACACACACACACCAGGCACACACATGCACAGATTCAAGTCTCTGCTGGTGACCAGATTAACTTTTTTACCCCAGTAGTTGCAACATCTGCCCGCTACATCTGTCAGAACAGCGGCGAGAGGCTTTCCTCTCGCCGCACAACAAATCCATCGATGCAGCTCAACCATTTACAGATTAACCGCTGCAATAATGCCCCCTCTAAAGTACATTGGAATCACATCGCGCTGCCACACAGCATCTCATCGACATTTCTAATTGTACTTGTAACTGACCTGTAATGACCTTCAACATGAATTCTTCCACAGTGATATATTGATAGGGACTTTATTAGACACAATTGAAAGTTATTGGACTAAGTGGAGATAACAGATCAGATGCGGCTGCCGTCCCTTTAAGCTTTGCCATGCTGACCCAGTTTTCTGGCCCAGACCCACTGAATGTAATTCAGTGAAGCTGTGAGGGATTCCTACTACTGTCTCATGTAATAATGTCAGAGGAGACAGGAATGGGAATTAAGATGCTTTTAACAAGGTTTTAGCAGACTGGTCTTCTTCTTCTTCTTCTCTCTCATTGTTCCCAGGCTTTAATCACGGCAGACAGGAAGTTTTGAGGCTCTAATTTTAAGTCTTGTCATGTAGTTTCACCTGGAAAATTGCCCTAGTATTGTACCGTTGCTTGCAGGTATGAGAATCACAAAAATGAAATCACTTCCCTCTTTGGAGTTGGACATTTACCAGCTGTTTTTTTGCCCAGAATCAAATTGTTGCCTTCATTTAGTTTCATATTGGTGTTATTCTAAGTAAACGGCAACAGTGAAGTGGCACTGGAGTCTGTACAATTATTTTGAAAATTGGTCTGACGTATCACTCTGCTCTTTAAGCCACTGGGGTACCTAGTGATGAGTGGCCAATTACATCCAGGCTGAAGAAAAAGGAAAACACAGTACTAATGGAAAGTAGGAAGCAAATTGCAGAAATAATATTCCGCAATAATTAAAATGTACTTTCTGAAAACTCATAAAACTGCATGTAAAAATGTTATTCATATGGAGTCATGTTTCCTCCTTGTTTCTATTGCAGGTCGGTCACTGGATCCTCGTCGTATCAGTACTCATCCGTGTCCACAGCAGCCTGATTTGGATGCTCTCTTTGAGGAGGTGATGCAAAAGGTGCGTCAGAGCGCCCGTGGAGCTATTGCACCCATCGCATGTGTCCAGGCGGTGCGGGCGGCTGCCACCCTGCCCTACGCTCAGGGCATGGAGCGAGAGAGAGAGCTGATGGCCACTCTCTTCACCTCAGGCCAGGCCCGCGCCCTGCAGTACTGTTTCTTTGCTGAGAGAGCTGTTGGCAGGTGGAGGATGCCTAGTGGAGCCCGCTGGGACACGAGCAAGCCCAGGCCTGTGCATAAAGCAGCTGTCATCGGTAAAAGCTTCTTTAATTTCTATTTGTCTGAGATAACAATACGCACAAGCTAATTTATAGTTACGCTGAATGTATATGGATGAGCTCTCTCTACTCGGCAGTGAGGGTTGGATGAATGACAATCTGGATATGTGAAGCTCAGCAGCTTGTGCATTAAAATTGCAAGCATTGGAAAAATTCCCAGGCTTAATATTTTTTCAGACTACCATTATTTACACAAAAACATTATTTACTGTGATTCTTCTTGTATATATTGTTATTTTTCTGATCCAAAATTGTCCAAGGTATGTGTGAATTGTGATTTGAGGTTTTATTTGATTTGTGATTTTGTCTAAAAAGGCCTCGGCACCATGGGGAGAGGCATTACCGTGGCACTGGCTCAGACCGGGTTGTCTGTGATCGCCGTGGAGACCCAGGAGAAGCAGTTGATGGAGGCAAAGCAGGCGATATCTGGCATGTTGGAGCGAGGAGCCAAGAGACGTGGTGTGGCTCCTGCTCTTGATAGAGTCATTTACAGCCAGAACATCCAGGCCGTGGCGGATGTGGACCTGGTCATCGAGGCTGTCTTTGAGGACATCGCCCTGAAGACCAAAGTCTTCCAGCAGCTTTCTGCCGTTTGTAAACCCGGCACATTACTGTGCACCAACACTTCTGCTCTAGACGTGGACCAGCTCGCCTCTGAGACCCCCAACCCCGAGCTGGTGGTTGGGATGCACTTCTTCGCCCCAGCCCATGTCATGAAGCTGCTGGAGGTGGTGTACGGGCCTCGGTCCTCTCCTCAAGCCGTGGCCACTGCCATGCAACTGGGGAAGAAAATGGGCAAAGCCAGTGTGGCAGTTGGCAACTGTCGAGGCTTCGTGGGGAACCGCATGCTGAAGCCTTACATTGAAGAAGCGTTCTTCCTTCTGGAGGAGGGAGCTACACCAGAGTTAGTCGATCAAGCGCTGGAGGAGTTTGGTTTTCCCATGGGTGTGTTCAGAATGTCCGACCTCTCTGGGCTGGACGTGGGATGGAGAGTCAGGAAAGGAGACGGGCTGGTGGAGCCTGGCACGGCGTCAGGGCGATCTGCTAGAATCCGACAGGGTCGCAGGTACAGTCCTCTGGGAGACCTGCTCTGTGAGGAGGGACGCTTCGGCCAGAAAACAGGCCGGGGGTGGTACCAGTATGACAAACCTGGCAGTCGGGTTGCTAGGTCTGACCCTTGGCTGCACAGCTTTCTGGGGGCGTACCGAGCCCAGCACGGCCTGGTGGCGCGACGCATCGACCACCAGGAGGTGCTGGAGCGCTGCCTCTACGCCCTGATCAACGAGGGCTTCCATATCCTGGATGATGGAATAGCTGCAGGACCTGAAGACATCGATGTCATCTATGTGTCGGGCTACGGCTGGCCCAGGCACCGTGGAGGTCCGATGTTCTACGCCAACATGGTCGGGCTGGCGAAGGTCCTGGAGAGGCTGGAGCACTACCAGCAGCTTCACCCTGAGGTGCCCCACCTGCAGCCCAGCAGCCTGCTCAGGAGGCTGGTGGCCAGCGGCAGCCCACCTATCCACAAGTGGGGGGAGGTTATCAAGAAACTCCACAGTCAGCTTTAAATCTTAAGCATTTTAGCTCTAAGCTCTTAATTCACTTTAATAATGACAAGCTTATACTGTGATAAACAGTAAATTGCTTATTTTGTACTCTTTAAAATGTCTAATCTTTTTCTTTTGTATATTGTGATTATGAATGTAATTATTGAAGGCTGCTGTGCTTTCTTTAATTTAATAATCATAATAGCTTTGTCTGTGCCAATTTATTAGGTACACAATGTAATATAATTATATACAACAACAGTAAATCATATCTTTGTTAAGCTGATTGAGCTTGTGTTGACATTTTATCAAATACATTGATTTGACTTGCAATAGATTGATGGTTTAATTGTTTCTAAAAGATTGTCTCTTGTGTGTGTAAATAGTGGCTGTACAAAACACTATAAACACAAGAAACAGAACATGTTATTGATTTTCCTATATTAGGCTTGAATGGTTTTTAATGAATCATGTTTAATAAATGTTGACAAATGTTTTGTGTAATGTACAATATTTGATAATAAAAATAATCTGATGTCCAAAGACCTGTTTTATACTGATGTATTGGTTCGTAATGTACTTACTGTCCTATTTGTGTGAAACTGACATTATGTAGAGTAGCTATTGTTTGGCTTGTTATTCCAGCTCCCAGTGTGTCCAGGTAACTGCTTGTGGCATTTCATTTCATTTGTTTCATCAGTCAAACGACCTTCTCTGGAGGAGAAAAATCAAACTCTTCTTCATGTGTTAGTCTCTGGTTTCTGAATTTCTGCTGACTCAGGCACAGCGGTGACAGAGAGCCGAGGGGGACACGCGGCGGTAAACTGCTCTTTATATAAATCAATGGCTCACCCTGAAATCTCACGCCAGCAGATGTTGGGGTTGCCATCTAGCGGTACAGGGCTTCAGACTGAGCAGCTGGATTTTACATTATAATGCTTTATTTTGTACTTCAGCTACACTTCTAGACGTGTTATCTTTTAAAACAGGTAAATAAAGGAATCATGAATTGAGAAAGAAGGATATTAAAGTGTATCCAAGAATACAAAAAAGCGTATAATCACAACACTTATCCTATATGTAAATCTTATTAAGGTTAATTAAATCTTTCTTTCAGATCCAGACCCTGCCATGGTGTTTTGAAGTTTTATAAAGGGGCCGAGACAATTAAAGCTGGATGTGTGTTTGAAGTGCGCAGAGCATCTGGCTTTGTGTGAGTGGACTCCTCCCGTTGTGTGATGAAGTTCAGATGCGCGCCGCTGTTCCGTACGCGCGTCACCAGCGCACATAGGAGCTTCCCGACGCGAGGGGGAGGCTGGAGAGATGTGTGGATCACGACCATGGAAGGCTTTGAATGTCACATTACATGCATCTAATTGACGCTATTCGACTTTTACAGGATATGTTTCCACCCTTCATATGAGCAGTAACCCAGCTGCTCGGGATTCAGAGATCCAGCGCCGCCTTTCGCGTCTGTCTCCCAGTTGAGAAGCTTCCTGGGCTGCGTGGACCTTACAACCTCGGCTCGGTCCGTCGCGATTATGTTATAGTTTACTCGGACGAGGCTTTTTGTTTTCATCCAGGAAATGTTGGCATGGCCTCTTCGCGAGGTAAGAAGTGTCCGAAGAGTGAGAAGTTGGACGAGGCGCAGGCTTTGGCCAGGAGCTGCGCGGGGAGACCAGACTTCCTGCCGTGTGATGGGCTCTCCATCTGCGCGACCCACAGCCACGGGAAGTGCTTCAAGCTGCACTGGTGCTGCCACCTGGGATGGTGTCACTGTAAGTTTGTTTAAATGCTTTAATAGTATAACCATAATTATATCTCACTGTGGTGCCAAAATCTAGCCATGTTGTGTGGGCAGAAGCATCAGTTCACTGTAGTCTTCTTTATGTGGAGAGGAGAAATGATAGTGGACATTTGCTGCCCCGAGAACATCTTTGATAACACTTCCTACATATTTTATAGTTTTGTTTATATTGCAATAATATCAAGGTGAAACTTGTTATCTATAGAGTCACATTCATCCTTGATCCAATATGCATAAACAGACACCCTTGTATGAATAGTTTATGTAGTCCAAACAATGGAGGTGGCAACATTCAGAAGCAGGGAACTATATGGTTTGGATTCATGGTTTCAGTGTTACTAGGCCTACCATTCTTTTTGTTCCTATATATTTTTTTACATTTTCCTACAATTTCGGTGACCAGGCCAATTCGGCAGTGTACAGTATGCTGAAGTTTATTGTGCCATAGATTAAATATTCCATCGATGAATCCTCCAGCAGCCCATAATCTTAGTTTTCAATTGTCAATGTTACATTATTGAAAAACACAGATAATTATAAATAATAATGAACTATTTCTCTGTAAGTGCACATTTATACTCTAAATGATATGCAGTCAAGCTTAAAGAGTGGATGAAACTAGAATTACTGAAATAATCTTAATTTTGGTATTCTGATGTCTTCCAAATGACTTTTACTATAACTCCATGTAGGCCTATGGCTTATGCTCTATTATATTGGTGATGAATGCATCTGTGTGTGTTACATCGTTTATTTGATAGCACATTTATAAATATAGTATGTAAAATACTCAAAAGGACTGATCGGAAACCAAAATGACAAAAAAAAGGACAAACTATTTGTGGAGATACTTGTGAAAATGGGTTAGTCCCAAGTGACGTCACACTTAAGTCATCATTTTCATTTCTGCTTTAAAGGATGAGTCTTGTGATATTTTTCCTGCTGTCAACACATTCCATGAAGAGACCAAAACCAACAATGATTTGATTCTTCAACAAGAACAGCCTGAAATAGCCTATTCCTCTGTGTCATACACATAGACCATTTTAAACGCACTATTACTTCATCATGATGACCGTGGGCTCTGTAGTGTATTTTGAGTCACTCCCACGTTGAAAAACTAAGTGCAGTAAATACTCTCTCTAGAGCATCAAATGTGTATCAATCCACAATTTAAAATAGTCCCCAATACATGCACTGTTTATTTTTGTTTGAGTAATGTTTAATAAAAATTGCCCAGCGGATTTAGTCAATCATTTAGGGCTGACATTTTTCACTTAACTAAATATAGGGCAGTAACCATATCAGATTTTAACGATACAATTATCGTGACCAAAACATTTCATGATGACTCATTATTATTGTGCTACCTGTAAAAATGTACTATCAGTCAAATTAATTTCTTACTTTTTTGTTGTTAGTGTTGTTTTTTTGTCAAAATTGCATTTAAAATGCCAGGTTGGGGAGGTGAAGAGGGAATCTGTAACCATACCTGCACATTTAAAGAAATTGAAAGGATTTAGGAGGTGCTGGATTTTTTAAATTGTATTTTCATGTATATTTTTAACATAATATCAATACAACCTTTTTGAAATGTCAGAAATCTTGTTTGATACCACTATATCGCACCACTTCTGTGCCAAATACTTGATAATATCGACTCAACTCAACAGTATTACCACATTATATAAAAAATATATTTTATCTTCATTGTTGAATTGTTTTGGTAGTATAGCACAGGGCCCTTACTCAAACATGGAACATTTTCGTTTCATTTTTTGGCAAAGTGTTAGTGGCATTTACTCTACCCACGTATCCTACCCACAACACTTTCTCTCCATTTGAACCTTTCTCGACCTGTCACTTCCACACGACTTCAGAACCACAATAGCCGAGGCTTAACCTGACAGGATGCCCAGGATGTCTCTTTGTGCTGCCCTAATTTATCCCAGCTCTGGCTCTCCTATAGGCTATACCCTCATAAAATCCTGAGATCAGTGTAAAACACAATCACCCTCCACTCTGCACCACTCAGTCGGGGCTTATAGTGTGCAACTGCACAAGTCACATTGTAATCTTTGCCGTGTAATCATTGGATTTAGATGCCTGACTCCGTCCAGAATGAGCCAAGCGATTTGAAATATCTGATGTGTCTGATTTTTTCCGGTGTTTAATATGATCCACATCTGGGATTTATGTTTCTCAGCAACGCCAGCGTTACATCATTTGTAAACATTAATACCTGCTCCTCCTTTCTGCTTTGGAATATTCATCACTCGTTGTATATGTGTTGCACAATGGACATGGATGGGTATTATTTCCCCCTTATTGAATTCAGGCTGTTATGGAGAAGAATGAGCCAGCCTCATCATAATGGAGCTTCTCACCTTCACATTTCGGACCACTCTAATTCACAGGCTCCCCTCACAGGACACTCTAGCTCCACAGTTTGAATAAACAAGCTTAGATTGCTGAATCAGGCAGAAACCGGGCACCCGGTGAGAATGAAATAGCAGTGTGCTGCTGCATGCAATGCCCCCCGTCTCAAACCCTTCTTTGTAGCAACTCATAATAATGCTGGATGCATCACTCCCCTTACCTTGTCACATTTTATTTTTAAACGTGCCTATGACTGTTGCCTCGGATATAAACTCGTTCTAAGGCTGATAATTGTGTATTTGCCACAGGGAGCCTTGCCAGACTGCCTTTTTAATTACATTTTTAATTTGTTTCTAGGCAAACAAATACAAAGGGTCAATGTTTAGTAAGGCTTTGGCTCAGCAATTTAATTCTCAAACACAAATTATAATTTCATCGTACCTGTGGAACAGCGATTACCTATGACTTAATTCTTGGCTTCTACTACTTCCTACGTGCCATTGCATCCAAAACATCTCTCTCTCTTCGGTCTTCTTTGTCTTGACTTTGCAGCCTACAGAAACAAAATGATGCTTTGACGGCTTTCTGTGGTAGTTTCCACTTTGTTGAAGCTTTGTTAAACTTCTGGCTGAGAGGCTGTGTTCCCAGCTGGTGACAACATCAGTCCAAGCCTCTCATTAGTTGTAATTAGCTGTGTTTAGTGTCACCGCCAATATGTCATGTCTGATGAGAGCTTCTGCTAACAGCAAGCAACACTGGAACCACCTGGTCTGAATAATCTTTCTCTCTCTTTATCCTCTACTAACTGATTACAATTACCAGTCAGAGCGAACAATTGCTCATTAAGAAATTCTAACGGAGTCTAATTAGTCCTGAACAGTCTTGTCAGTCTGTTCGTTCTCTGCCAGCTCCAATTTCATACCTGACAACTTGTACTTCTGTTGTAGTTACAAGAAAGTGGGATCTTTCTGTCAGACTTCGTCATCTGTCACATCACACAGCTAGCTTGCAGCTATTCTAAAGGGAAATGTGTAGGACTATCGGATAAAGCTCTTATTGATTGATTTGCTCACCAATTCAAAATGTGCTGCAGTGGCCGACCATAAAAAGCTTCAACTGTTATTAAAGGATCGATTCAGTGTTAGCACAGGCCAGAGGGGATGTTAGCTGGACTGTTGGGAAGCACTTTAACTTATTGTCCCACAAAGTTGGAAACAAAGGGCAGCACTAAACCAACTTCATCATGTTTTTAAAGGATTGCAGATCATTTTCAAATCTGTCAAATCTGTCTTAATATAATACCACATGTTATGTTTGTTGCTGTTCACTCATCGCAGCCTAGCAATGAACTGTAGCAAA